TCGATTATTTTTTACTTAAACACATATTTCATGTCAAAAGTTGTAATACCGACTTCACAAACAGTTCACAGTTTTTTGCGTTTCATTGCGTTGCGTTTAAATATTTGGCACTTCTAAAAAACGTTAAAATTCATCCATTTATTATCCGCCTTCTAATAGGAAGACTATTAAATCCCGTCTTACTGTCTCGGAATCTAAATGATACAAATTAACTTAACTTTACACAATGGACAAGTGAGCTTTATAAAAGCTTTGTTAATTTAACTTCGCGGAGAGTCGATAAATTTCTAAGCATTTATGGTACTACAATCAAGAATTGTAATATCTGTGGTGGTGTTTGGGAAATTTAAAAATGACCATTTAGATACCGATAACGGGACGCTTTTAGGATTTATCTTATAATTTTATTGCCGAAAGCTCTCTGGAGCTTTACGCACTGTGCGTAGCGCACATTGCGTAAACGCACAACTACTATTAATGATAGAGCTAAAACATCCTCCATAGGTCAACGCACGGTGTATGGAAAAGCTTCGATTTTAAAATATGTATTTAAAATTGTTTCGGGTTGAGGTAATCACGGACTTAAATTGCTATCCAGAAATGTGCCTATCTTATCACGCTGCTGCTGACATAACATATATAAAAATAATTATAAAATTTACTTGGACAATTTATATGATTTGATAAATATTGTTTGAGTATTAACTATTACATAAAGTTAAGCTTTTCATGTTTCTTTCGTAACTGTGTAGGCATTGGCCATACTGTGTTTTATTTTGTTATTTTATAATTTCTATGTTGTAATTTAATTTAATTTAATATTTAAGTTGGCGTCTGGTAGATAGTACCGGTGACCCCAGAGCTGGAGCGTTCCTCGCTCAACGAATAAGTATCGCAATACAGCGAGGAAATGCTGCCAGCGTTAAATGACACTGCCACTAGGACCGAACTTTTTAAATTTGTTTTAATTTTCTTTTTATTCATTTTTAATTATTTGTATTATTACTATGTAGGTTAAGTAAATTGTAAATACTGTATACTGTACTGATTGTTATGTTTAGTTACATAAATAAAAGAAATTAATAAGGTTTACTAACTTTATTCTGAAATAAATATAATATTTTTCGTATATTAATTTGTTGAATTGTGTGTGTAAAATGTGTAAAGTCATATTTTCTTGTATTTTTAAGTATGTCGTTTTAGAACTAATAAATAAATACTAATATCCTAAGTAAAATTCATTGCATTCTTCATTGCTAAGCGCCGAGATACTCCAGACTCCTTTGGCACGAGTAGAAGAAATAAAAAATTATTAAAAAATTTAATAAGCACAATTAAAGCCATATCAACTGGGGCAGGTAAAAGGAGACCTGACCGCAGACGCTCATCATGGTTGAAGAATCTTAGACAATGGTTTGGTCAAAACACTAAGTTTATGTTCAGAAGTGGGCATCCGAAATGAAAGTAGCCATTATAATCGCCAACCTTCCAAAGGAGATGGTACTGTTAGAAGAACAAAACAACATTATCAAAAAGTTCTATCATACCCAATTATTACCTTTCTAAGTACTAAAAGGCGACACCAATTTCAGAATGTCCCAAAAGTAAAGAGGTAATATTTTATTGATATCAAATCACTTTATATAAAAGTACGCCCACCAGACACTCTGAACTTCTAAATGGTTATAAAAACTTATCTAATTGCGTAGTGTGTAGGCGAGCGCCGTCCCTCAGGATCACAAGGGCGTAAGTCTATTGCCGCCAGCCTCAAGCCGCTTGTGGATGCCACTCGGTTTTTAATGACTCTATTAAAAAGATTAATAGGCTCTATCGTTAAAAACATCGCCTTTTTCATTCCATACAAATTTAATTAATGTTAGATAGAGTTGGAGTGGCTCTCCGTGGGTTGAGTTTATTTTTGTTTGATCTCTTAATTTAGATTTCTCTACGACATTGCTAATCTTATTATCGCTTCTTAGGATAGGATTAAGTTAAAATATTAGATAACGTTATAATATTTTACGAAAAGTGCCATAAGTTAAAATTAGGATTTATTTCACTAATGAAATCATATCTTCATCTTCCTTTCTTTGTAATCCTACAGTTACTAGAACTAAAATTCTTCTATACGTACCTACGGCTGCTACTTTTAATAGTCCAGTGAATAGACTATCTCGCTCTTACAACTTAATTACTGACATTGATGAAAATATTAATATATTTTACATCAATCTCTTAATGAGGTTTAAGTTTCTATTAAGTTTTAGACATTTTTTTTTGTGGTTGCTTGTTTAATTTTTTCCCTTGCTAGCTTGCTTATATCGTAGGATGTGTATGTGTGTAAAAATTCTGCTGTCATTTTTTATTGTAAAACTTTACGCATACACGTTGTTGTAAAACTTATAAATATATATTCCTTCTGTGTCTTATACGCCCTTATTATTGTGTATATGACATGCCACGATGTTTTCTGTCAACCTAAGCAAAAATGGTAATGACGCGAATTAAAAATAAATAGCAGAGTTTCGTCGAGAATCGCTTAACCAGAGCGAGTTTGCTATTTTTTAAAATAAACAACCAAATAAATTTTGTTCAAGTAATAAAAATTAAGTAATATGTATATATAATATGAAAAATATCTTTAACTGTGTTCGTGCATGTAATGTGTTTTCTGTGACAATAATCTTTATTTTATTTGTTGTCCGATGTAATTGGGGTCCTGAATGTTGCTCTTCGCATAGCCATATTTTCAATATATATCACTGATACCGTCGCTTAAATCTATCTATCATCAATCTACGAAGGATTTGCTATTTTGTATGTTTCCAACGTATTAAGAGAAAATCTATAGGACTGATTACGATAATTCACCATTAGATTGCAACATAGTAACACTTTAATTTTAATTTTTAATTTAATTTGTTACCTATATAATATATTAAATGGAAAAATTAACAATTACCCACTATCTGAATATGAATGTAAAAAACGGTTACTACTCGGCTAAAGACGTTGAGTTATGATGAAACAGAAAATTTAATAACTGTTACTCTGTAACACACCCACTCGCCCACACATACGCACACACGCACACACACACACACACACACACACACAACACACACCAAATATGTTTACGACTCCCTTTGCAATGTTTTTTTTAGTAGCACTTACTTATTTTCTTCTATTGTATCTTTTGACAATGACCTGATTGTACGTGTTCCGGTCCGGTGGTGGAGAGGCTGGCAATCTGTCACTCAGGTCTCCTGTTACAGAGACCACCCTCTCACATACACTTCCAAATGTTATTATCTTAGTTTAATCATGATAACCTTGTATGTATATGTGAGAGAAGAAATAAAGATTATTATTATTATACTTTTATACTACTGAGCAATGATTTTTTAATTCCAAATTAATTATTGAAAATATCTGTATTTCTTTCTTGCGAAGAATATGTATTTCCGATTGGGGCGGTTAAGTGATATATATTCATAAGAGATCCAATAATTGATAAAACAATTGTAATTTGACTAATTATAAGTTAAATATCATCCAGTTGTATACTAAGATAAATAATACTGGCACGAATAAGACCTATTACCGATACGAAATAGACGTACATATACAAACGCTGTATTATACATATATAGGGGAAGCACAATTTCGCTTATCTCGCGCCCGCAAATCCGAAGCTATTTCATTTGCTTTTAAATTTCCTGCTATCCCCGATGTCCCCACTCGTTAACTAAACCCCAATTCATTTCTACAACTACTCGTTTTCCTTGGTTTTGCTTCAATTTATAAAAAAAATATATTTGGTTTTCCACACCCAGTTTTTTTACATTTTCTCAAATGAATCCGTTATGATGCGTGATTTGGAGAATTTACTATTTCGGCCATCTTCGTTACATGAGATTCATTCAATATGGTAGCATTTCTTTTAAAAAAAAATGTATTTATTGCTATAGCAATAGAATTATTTCTTTAATTTATTAAGTTAATATTGTAATTATTAACATTGACGGATTTCAATGCACTTCTCTTTAAACCCTTTTATTTAAACATACCATTTTAAATCAAATTAATTGCATTTCCTATTAAACGAGAAGACACATCGATTTTTTTAAAGAATATTTAAAGCGAACTAACGGAATATCTCAATTGCGCTTACTTAAAAGTATTGAAAATACCTATTACAATACGTTCAAACAAAATATCGAGTGCAAGACTGCGTTAAAAATGGTGTTAGTTCCTCATCTTTATTCCCGTTTGAAGTTAAATAAAAGTAAATAAGCCCCTTAACTGCCTCAAATGTCTTGGATCTCCGTTTTATATGGTTTGTCCTTTTGAATGAACCTAAATAATTTGTGGCAAATTTATTAAGCATTTGTGAGTTATATTAATATGCAAAAAAAATCAGTGGCGCTACAACCTCTTTAGGTCTGGGCCTCAGATTTCTGAATCTGTTTCATGATCATTTTTCAATCTAATAGGCAAGTAGATCAGCCTTCAGTGCCTGACACACGCCGTCGAATTTTTGGGTCTAAGACATGTCGGTTTCCTCACGATGTTTTCCTTCACCTTACGGAACCTTCGACCTCAGGGATGAGAGTCGCACGCTGAAGCCACTAGGCCAACACTGCTCTTATATGAATATGAACCGGCTTAAAAATTTTAGCTAACGTACATGAGAATTTTTATCTGAGAAAGCAGAGCTTAATGAGCATTTCACATTCGTTAAAGGCAAACTCAATTCCATTACGTACTTATTTAAAAAAGGAAAACGAAACAAAAGCGTTCAACAAAAGCTCAGCTTTAAAGTTCATCTTCGTAAGCTCTCAAGCTCGAAGCGTTTCATTCATCGAGTTAGTAGCGTTCGGACTGTCACACGGGACGGGTGTATCGCCTCTCTGTGCGAAATCCTCGAAGTCCAATACGATTTCAATGTTCGCGTGATATTGCGATGCTGTGAATGTTATCCTGATGCCATTGAAGCCATGATATTCAAAGCGGGAGGGAAGCCTCCGGGCAAGAGTCCTCCAAAGACAGAAGAAAGAGAAAATAAGGAGAATTGCGTAAAAGAAAGTTGCGACCGATGCCCGGGGGATCCGTGGGTTTATTGTGCAGTGTTGTGGTGTGCGTGTGCTATGAGCCTGATCTCAAGCGGGTACAGCCTATACAGGCAACAGGGACTTCAAGATAGACTTGGCTTGCTGGAGGAACAGCACCGGGCGCTGCGTAGCGCGGTGTTGGAGCCGCAGCAGCCGCTCGTGGAGAGGCTTCGACGGGAGGCTCGGGTCCCGCACTGGAGAGTAACCAGGAGCATACGGGATTATGGTGATTGCGGCTGTCCACCAGGTACGATAACAATATCCACTTGGCAACTAAATGTTTCCTTGATTATGTTTATAAGTGTTAGTTGTAGAAAATGTTAAAACACTAATTCAAATACACCGTGTATTTATTACAATCTCAATTATCATCCAGATATGTGAGACATTAGAGATCTCAAATATATATTAAATATATTAATTAACAAAAAAATTACGAAATCATTTTAAAAAATTTTTTAAACACAACACAGGTTCATTATCTGAATAAATATGAGGGTAAAGGTTTTATATAAATGCATAAAATACTTTTTAAATAACTATTTAGTATGATCGAGACGCAGAGAATCTGTGTTATTAAATCATAATTATATGAGAATTTACAATGCAATGAATATTGTCAAAGGACACGTTACATATCTGATATCTGCTACAATACAATATGATTACACAAACCAATATTATTTGTAAGTAATTTAATGAAAATTAAATCAATACTTCATTTATTTTCACAATCCTACTTTAAAAGAATACAATACGAGTATATTGACAGTGTCTGAAAATAATTACTTTCTAATTAATATTTTTTAACAAGTTCGTTAGGTTTAGTTAGGTTTCTATCAACTTCCCCTTCTATCTTTATTCAGTTAGCCATAAAGTATTTTAATAGCCCTCATTGCTATAATTTACGACGATTTATGACCTGCTTGAGTTAATGTAATAAATTGTGTGACTAAATATGTTGTGACTGGACAGGATAATATAAATCTTATGCCACGTGTGTACAACAGTGGTAAATAGTTTTTATTGTATTTGTTTTCCCACGGTACCGCAAACGATTAAGTCTAAACACCTATTCTTCTATTTGATTTATTTTATTTGTTGACGCTACTCTATTGACGATAAATAAAGGTCCTCCATTCAGACATTTTTTGCTTTAATTTTGATTCGCGCTTAAAAGGTACGTTATTTTAGATGGAAAGGCATACATAAATGATCATTTTGATAAAGTTAGAAATAAAATTGACCTAACATTTATTTCTTAACTATAATTAAAATCATTTCATTACATCGTGAGTGCTTTTCTATGTATTGTTTTTATTAAAATCCCATATATCGGACTTAATTCGCTCTTTCGAAGTTTTAGAGATAACAAAAAAGCTAATAGCTTAATTAAACGACCCCTCTATCCCTTGATCCCTCAAATGTAACAAAAAGTAGCCTTTCGAAGGGCTCAGGGTGTTCACACGGATTCCTTATATAAATTCCATTTGAAATTCGTTCACAGTATTAAAAGTATTGCCGTTTGTTATATAATTACTTACACATACATAACTTTAACGACTAGACTGCACCAATTAGTGATATAATATTACATATTTAATTTATATACCAATTAATTATATAATAATAATTTACGAGACAAGGTTTATTCAAAATAACCTATCTGTCTAATGATTCTCTTTTTGAATCTATCAGAATAAAATGTAAGTGAGACAAAGAATGGTTATTTTTGTAATTTACACCACATTAAACAAGTTTATTACGTGCTATAAATGTATTGGTTTTTTTATACATTTTAGTCTCGTATAGTACCAGTCTCATCGTTTTAAGGAAGAGAAGCAACATTTTATTTTACAGAATAATATAATAAAACCATGATAAGTTACATGAACAAACCACTGTGTATTGTCTTTGTTAAACATAACCTTTACACATATACAGAAAAACGCTTTTTACCGGATTAAAGTTATGTTTACTATTATAAATTTACAACTATTTGAGTGGTCACGGTGACCACGCACGCTGTAAAGCACGCGAAACGTCGGATAAATTTAAAATTATGTCAAATAGTTGTAAATTTATAATAGTAAACATAACTTTAATTATATCATTTTGTTTAAACCACTGTGGTTTGTTGTGTAAACATAGTAGTATGTTTAGGGAAATGCATATAAAAGTAACTAAAAGTATACATAATCTTTTGGTCTCGTATTAACGTAAGTCGGTAGCAGGTTAAACTAAAGCTATACAGCATTATAAACTGTACAGTTTTTAATAAAACAATTTACCAAAATATCTTAATAACCATAAAATTTCCGTAGTCATAGTGACCACCTTGAAAAAGCTATTATTATTTTTTTATCCCAGTCGAAAGCTGTCAACTAATCCGTGGTTATCGGGCCCGCAGGCGTTGATCGAAAAAATGATAAACTGCCCGCCTCGCATGGTGCGAAATGGGAATGACACTTTAAGGGTTTGGGTATACTAGGTTTTATAGGTCACTTTATTTATGAGCTTTCAAGAAATCGAACCTTCTTAATGGTGTATAAATCAAGTCTTTCTTTGGATGCTTTTCAGATTGATTAAACGTAGAAATGTTCGATTTATACCAATGTTTATATAAAAAAAATTTTTTCGTATTAATGTGATACTGCATTTAAGTTACTGCATTTAATATTAAATACCAGTAGCGCTACAGATTTGGTCTTAGCCTTAGATGTCTGATCTATTTCTTGAATTTTTTTTAGTTGAATAAGTCTACGGTATGCCGTATTCCTCACGATATTTTAACTAGTGTTTAATGCGGAGTGTTCCGCACATAGAAAGAAGACTATATTAGTCAACAACCGTGATTCAAACAGACGACCTCAAGATTGTAAGTCGCATACTCTAACCACTACGGTGCTATATGATTTACTGAATTTAATATCCGACGGTGTAATACTCGATAACTTCAAATCGTTTTTATTTTTGCTTCCAAAAACATAAACATAACGAGTACATGACGATATCTTCTACGTTATTACATTTTCTTTGAACTTTGTTCCACTCCAGTGTTTTAATCGAAAGTAATCGATTACGTCTATCAAATAATAGGAACTCGACTATGAGTAATGTGTGGGAAGTGTGTGTGCAGTGGATGGAAAACAAACAATATAGGGTCGAACGGACCGCGATAAAACTAACGCGTGCACTTGACGGCCAGAGGGTTATACACACGAAGGAAACTTTCTCACAATAATTGCAGGATAAAAGTTGTATAGAGTTTTTCCGACATGTTAAGGAATACAGTCTTCGTTGTTTTGGAACAACTAATAAAAAAATAGCTTTCGCGGACCAGATTTATTCCGCGTATCTTACTTCCAATAAAATGTAAGTTAGACAGAGTTATTTTTTTAATTAGATACACCGCATTTAACAATTTTTTATTCGAATATTATCATTTGCTTCAATATGTGTTTTATATATTTTAGTTTTTTATAGTACCGGTGACATTTTAAGCAAGTAAAGCAACATTTTTAGAGATGAGATTTATAAAAGCCTTTTATAGATTAATAAATGCTTTATTTAAATGTCTATATTTTACATACAAATTTAGATATTTTAAGGAATTTCAATTAAAAGAAAGAAAGAAAAACTTTATTATATACAATATACAGGATATTTAGGTAAAGTGCACTGGCCCCCACACTAGGATTCCCTGTGTTGTGGGCAGCCAGTCCCTTCTTTTTAACATGTAAACTGTATTTAACTTTATGATTTCTACATAACACAAATTTACATTCAAACTATCTTTGCACACAGGTTGACAAGATATTGTTTGAGATTTTTAGTAAGTGTATGTACAAAAATATGTGAGTTTTGAAATGTTAGTGATAATTTTGCTTTTAAAGAAGTGGTTAAAAATGAAAGGGCCTCGGAAGGAGTAAAGGAATAAAAAAGACGCCTTTGGCCGACCATACTTATTCCAAGCATCTTACTTTATTTTTGGATCTCTCTGACTCCCTTACATTAAAAATGTATCAGATTTTGACATAGTGGAGTCTGTGCTAAGTCTCGTGTCAGAATCACACTCCTAAAATATCCAGGTTAGCAACTCCATTGTACCCTCAATTCCTTAGGTTATATTTTGCCGTTTCACAGTTCGCAAGTATGACACAGCCTTTCTTAACAAAGCCTTGATGCACTCGAGAGTTAATATCCAGTCAGTTGATTAAATAGTATTGACATCAAAGGCCACATAAGCCATACTATGTTATAGGCAGATAAATAAATCAGTATTAATAGAATGCGTGGAGAATTAATCCTATTAAGCGTTTGAACACAAGCCCTTACAGGATTACTGGCGGCGGTGATAAGTGGTGTTGCAGCACTGAGCTCACGCCGGACAATCGTTTTTCAATACACGTCCTAATTGACAAACATTCAGATGAGATTACGTCGGACAAAATCAATTAACATTCTAAAAACAAGCAGCCAAATGCAAATAATTTAGGTATGATTAGGGAAGCGATAGCAGTTTTTTTAATATTGTTATCGCTCCCATACGTAATAAGTACATTATACATAGTGTATATAAAAATCAGTGGTGCTACAGCCTTTTTAGGTCTGGGTCTCAGATTTCTATATCTGTTTCATGATCATTTGTCAATCTAATCGGCAAGTAGGTGATTCGTCAACATTTGGTGTAAGCCATGCCAGTTTCCTGACGATGTATTTCCTTCATCGTACGAGCGAGCGCATATAGACAAGTCCATTGGTGCAGAGCCGGGGATCGATCCTTCGATAGCAAGGATGAGGCACACTTTGAAACCACTAAGCCATCTACGTAATAATTGAAGTATTTAAAGCAAAATGAACCTAGTTATTTTTGCATTATTCGCAACGTGTAATCGTACAGAATGAGTAAGATAAATAAACATATTTATTTGGTTTAAACTTAAAAGTTATGTTCTTATATAATATTCGTGATATATACGATTCTCGTTTTGAAACATTGTTGTCGTACTACATTAAACATAATTTATTATTTATTATTACTATAAAGTTTTGATCAGTTTTCCAAATATTTAAATTAATGTTTGGACGTATATAAAAATAAAAACGATTAACGTATTCACCACACGAACTAAAATACGCGATCATTTGCTAATCAGGTCATGTTAGCGGAGGCAGCTGTATGGCGTGTGGTGTGTGGTGTAGGCAGGAGCAGAATGCGGCTCGGACAGGCTAGCATTCAGTTCCGCAGCTCAGTGGATTAAGCGTTAATTAGATTCGTTTTCACCACTCACTGTCAATTTAACTCTACATTTGAATGTTGG